GTGGATTTTGGGGTGGGGGACTCGTAATCCACCTGCCAGTCCGGGCACAGCTGCGGGAAAAATCATGGAATTAGGGAAAAAAATGGGAATTCTGGGAGAAATCCCCAAAAAAATCCGGGATTCTGAGCCAAAATCCCGAGAAAATTTGGGATTCCCGAGGGTTTGGGGTGGATTTTGGGGTGTGGGATTCGAAATCCGGGTGCCAGTCTGGGAATAATTGAGGGAAATCATGGAAAAATCATGGAAAAATCATGGAAAAACGGGAATTAGGGAAAAAAACGGGAATTTTGGGAAAAAATTCCAGAAAATTCTGAGATTCTGAGAGAAAATCCTGAGAAAATCCGGAATTCCTGAGGGTTTGGGGTGGATTTTGGGGTGGGGGACTCGTAATCCACCTGCCAGTCCGGGCACAGCTGCGGGAAAAATCATGGAAAAATGGGAATTAGGGAAAAATCTGGGAATTCTGGGAGAAATCCCAAAAAAAATCCGGGATTCTGAGAGAAAATCCCGAGAAAATCCCGAGAAAATCCCGAGAAAATCCGGGATTCCCGAGGGTTTGGGGTGGATTTTGGGGTGTGGGACTCAAAATCCGGGTGGAGTCTGGGAATAGTTGAGGGAAAACTGGGAAAAATCATGGAATTAGGGAAAAAATGGGAATTTTGGGAGAAAATTCCAGAAAATTCTGAGATTCTGAGCCAAAATCCCGAGAAAATCCGGAATTCCCGAGGGTTTGGGGTGGATTTTGGGCTGTGGGACTCGTAATCCACCTGCCAGTCGGGGGAAAACTGGGAAAAATCATGGAATTAGGGAAAAAATGGGAATTTTGGGAAAAATCCCCAAAAAAATCCGGGATTCTGAGAGAAAATCCCGAGAAAATCCCGAGAAAATCCGGAATTCCCGAGGGTCTGGGGTGGATTTTGGGGTGTGGGATTCGAAATCCGGGTGGAGTCTGGGAATAATTGAGGGAAAATCATGGAAAAGTCATGGAAAAATGGGAATTGGGGAAAAAAACGGGAATTTTGGGAAAAATCCCCAAAAAAATCCGGGATTCTGAGCCAAAATCCCGAGAAAATCCCGAGAAAATCCGGAATTCCCGAGGGTTTGGGGTGGATTTTGGGGTGTGGGATTCGAAATCTGGGTGGAGTCTGGGAATAATTGAGGGAAAATTGGGAAAAATCATGGAAAAATGGGAATTGGGGGAAAAAACGGGAATTTTGGGAGAAATTCCAAAAAAAATCCGGGATTTTGAGTGAAAATTCCAAGAAATTCTGGGATTTTTGGGAAAAATTCCAAGAAATTCTGGGATTTTTGGGAAAAATTCCAAGAAATTCCAAAATTTTCAGTGAAAATTCCAAGAAAATTTGGAATTTTTTTTGGAAATTCCAAGAAATTCTGGGATTCCCATTGAAAATTCCATGAAAATTTGGAATTCTCAGGGGAAATTCCAAGAAAATTTGGGATTTCCAAGGATTTTGGGGTGTGGGATTCGAAATCCAGGTGGAATCTGGGAAAAGTTGAGGGAAAATCATGGAAAAATCATGGAAAAACGGGAATTAGGGAAAAAAATGGGAATTTAATTTGGGATTTTTTGGGGATAAATTGGGATAATTTTGGGATTTTTTTGGGATAAATTTGGGATTTTTTTTTGATTTTTTGGGGATAAATTTGGGATTTTTTGGGATAAATTTGGGATAAATTTGGGATAAATTTGGGATTTTTGGGATAATTTTGGGATAAATTTGGGGTAAATTTGGGATTTTTTGGGGATAAATTTGGGATAATTTTGGGATTTTTTGGGGGATAAATTTGGGGTAAATTTGGGATTTTTTGGGGATAAATTTGGGATTTTTTTTGGGATAAATTCAGGATTTTCTGGGATTTTTTTGGGATAAATTCGGGATTTTTTTTTAATTTTTTTGGGATAATTTTGGGATTTTTTTGGCGGGATAAATTTGGGATTTTTTGGGTTTTTTTTGGGATAAATTTGGGATAAATTTGGGATTTTTTTTGGGATAAATTTGGGATTTTTTTTTTTTTTGATAAATTTGGGGGTTTTTTGGGATTTTTTGGGAAAAATTTGGGATAAATTTGGGATTTTTGGGGGGATAAATTTGGGGTAAATTTGGGATTTTTTGGGGATAAATTCGGGATTTTTTTTGGGATAAATTTGGGATATTTTGAGATAAATTTGGGATAAATTTGGGGTATTTTGGGAAATTTTTGGGATAACTTTGGGATGGTTTTTTGGGATAAATTTGGGATAACTTTGGGATTTTTTGGGGATAATTTTGGGATAAATCTGGGATAATTTTGGGAATTTTTGGGATAATTTTGGGATCAATTTGGGATATTTTGGGATAACTCTGGGATAATTTTGAGATGTTTTTGGGATAAATTTGGGATAACTTTGGGATGCTTTTTTGGGATAAATCTGGGATAATTTGGGGTAAATCTGGGATTTTTTTGGGGTAACTTCGGGATAATTTGGGATAACTTTGGGATGTTTTGGGATAACTCCGGGATTTTTTGGGATGTTATTTGGGATAAATTTGGGATATTTTGGGATAACTGTGGGATAAATTTGGGATGTTTTTTTGGGATAAATTTGGGATAAATCTGGGATAATTTGGGATAACTTTGGGATGTTTTTTGGGATAAATTTGGGATGTTTTTTGGGTATCATTGGGATAACTTTGGGATGGTTTTTTGGGATAAATTTGGGATAAATCTGGGATAAATTTGGGATTTTTTTTGAGATAAATTTGGGATAATTTTGGGATAACTTTGGGATGTTTTGGGATAACTTTGGGATGTTTTTTGGGATAATTTTGGGATACATTGGAATGTTTTTTGGGATATTTTGGGGCACTTTGGGATGGTTTTTGGGATGTTTTGGGATAACTGGGATATTTTTTGGGATGTTTTGGGACACTTTGGGATGTTTTTTGGGATAATTTTGGGATACATTGGGATGTTTTTTGGGATATTTTGGGACACTTTGGGATGTTTTTTTGGGATATTTTGGGATAACTTTGGGATAACTTCGGGATGTTTTTTGGGACACTTTGGGATAACTTTGGGATAACTTTGGGATGGTTTTTGGGATAACTTTGGGATAAATTTGGGATTTTTTGGGGATAAATTTGGGATAAATTTGGGATAACTTTGGGATGTTTTGGGATAACTTTGGGATGGTTTTTTTGGGATAATTTTGGGATTTTTTGGGATGTTTTGGGATAACTTTGGGATGTTTTTTGGGACACTTTGGGATGGATTTTTTGGGACACTTTGGGATGTTTTTTGGGATAACTTTGGGATTTTTGGGGGGATTTTTTGGGATTTTTTTGGGTAACTTTGGGATGTTTTTTGGGATGTTTTGGGATAACTTTGGGATGTCTTTTGGGATATTTTGGGATGTTTTTTGGGACACTTTGGGATGGTTTTTGGGACACTTTGGGATGGTTTTTGGGACACTTTGGGATGGTTTTTTTGGGATAATTTGGGATGGTTTTTGGGACACTTTGGGATGGTTTTTTGGGATAATTTGGGATGTTTTTGGGATACTTTGGGATGGTTTTTTTGGGATGTTTTGGGATAACTTTGGGATGTTTTTTGGGATACTTTGGGATTTTTTTGGGGATATTTTGGGGTATTTTGGGACAACTTTGGGATGGTTTTTGGGACACTTTGGGATGGTTTTTGGGACACTTTGGGATGGTTTTTGGGATACTTTGGGATGGTTTTTGGGACACTTTGGGATGGTTTTTTTGGGACACTTTGGGATGGTTTTTGGGATAATTTTGGGATATTTTGGGATAACTTTGGGATAACTTCGGGATGTTTTTTGGGATACTTTGGGATGTTTTTTTGGGATATTTTGGGATGTTTTTTGGGATGTTTTGGGATAACTTTGGGATGTTTTTTGGGATACATTGGGATTTTTTTTGGGATATTTTGGGGTATTTTGGGACAACTTTGGGATGTTTTTTTGGGATATTTTGGGATAACTTTGGGATAACTTTGAGGTTTTTTTTGGGATATTTTGGGATAACTTTGGGATGTTTTTTGGGATACTTCGGGATGTTTTTTTGGGATAATTTTGGGATAACTTTGGGATAACTTTGAGATTTTTTTTGGGATAACTTTGGGATTTTTTTGGGATAACTTTGAGATGTTTTTTTGGGATAAATCTGGGAATTTTTGGGCATTGTCTCACGGTGAAAGCCAGCTCCTGCCCCCGCAGCAGCCAGACCCCCGAGATGCTGCTGTCGTGGTCGCTGCCGAACAGAATGACGGAGGCGAAGGCGTTCTTGCGCAGCTTGTCCAGGCGCTGGAACATCCCTGCGGAGAAACAGCGGCACCGGGGCTGGAACCGGGAATAACGGGGATGGAATTGGGAATAACGGGAATGGAACCGGGAACAACGGGGATGGAAACACACGGGAATAACGGGAATGGAACCGGGAACAACGGGGATGGAAACACACGGGAATAACGGGAGAAAACACGGGAATAACGGGGAAAAACGCGGGAATGGAAGCGGGAATAATAGAGATGGAACCGGGAATAACGGGAGAAAACATGGGAATAATGGGAGAAAACACGGTAATAACGGGAATGGAACCGGGAATAACAGGGATGGAAACACACGGGAATAACGGGGATGGAACCGGGAATAACAGGGATGGAAACACACGGGAATAACGGGAATGGAACCGGGAATAACAGGGATGGAAACACACGGGAATAATGGGGAAAAATGCGGGAATGGAACCGGGAACAACGGGGATGGAAACACACGGGAATAACGGGAGAAAACATGGGAATAACGGGGAAAAACGCGGGAATGGAACCGGGAATAACGGGGATGGAAACACACGGGAATAACGGGAGAAAACACGGGAATAACGGGGATGGAACCGGGAATAACAGGGATGGAAAAACACGGGAATGGAACCGGGAATAACGGGAATGGAACCGGGAACAACGGGAATGGAACCGTGAATAACGGGAATGGAACGTGGGAATAACGGGAATGGAACCGGGAATAACGGGGATGGAAACACACGGGAATGGAACCGGGAATAACGGGGAAAAACGCGGGAATGGAACCGGGAATAACGGGGATGGAACCGGGAATAACGGGGATGGAAACACACGGGAATAACGGGAGAAAACACGGGAATAACGGGGATGGAACCGGGA